AAATGACTGAAAACGTGGACTGAATGTTACAATGAAGTCTAATTGCCAGCTCATTTCAAATACCTTGAAGATCAGAGGAACAATCTCGCGACGCACGCTTTCCGAAGTTTCAACTTGCAGCCGTGCTAAAACTTCTTCCATTGGAACGACGTCGAAGAACTGAAAATGCAAGAAGCCTGTAAAACGCAGAAGATTATTTGGTCAATTTATTCGCGGCAGCACAAACTCAGCCATAGATTTCGGTCTTTCTACCCATCGTAGAGGAGATTCAATTTTTTCGTCTGTCTATAGATCAATTGTTTACGCTGTAACGCCGCTGCATTGAAAGTGAAAAAATAAGACATACCCTAATATACCGATGTCCTTTAAGCATTTTCAGCATTTCGAAAGCTGCCGCTCTCACTCGCTCATTTTTATCATTGATGCCATTCAGCGTTATACATTTCAGTGCATGTTCAGCCGCATTCAGGCACGCCGGTACACCTATGAGATATCGCATTCCCTAAAATCGGGAACATAATAGAACTGAGTCCAGAGCTGAAATTCAATGACGCCGATTCCTACAAGCTCTCAAATGCTAGAAAAGGGACCTTCACAAATGTAATACGAATGGTTACAAACCTCATACACAGCCAGTCTTACACCCACAACAGAATCACGCGACAACGTATCCACGATCTGAACACAAGGTGGTACTACTACAGAAAATGAAAGCATCAAATGTCAAAATCAAATGATCGGCTCACAAGTAATCCTGGCAATTTGTATTGGTATGGCCACAAGGAAAGCAACAGCTGAGTTTGCACCAACAGATGGTCGCTTAGCTCAGACTTAAAACGCAAGGGATCTCAGAGTTAAGGAGGAAAACAGTAGGGGCGAAAACAAATGCCTCTCCTATTGGAATCTTGAGAGCCTTCCTGTTCTCCATTCTCAGCTCTGTAGTGAGTAAACTACCAGGGGCTCATCAAAGACAGCGGTTGGGCTGCTTGTACCTATCAGAAAATAATTCGCAATGAAATAATGTCTCCTCGAACTTCTTCATGCTTTCTTCTGAACCCCGTACCCAAACAAATGTCGTCTAGGCTTGCTAGGCTATGCGAAAGCCAAATCGACGGCTAAGAAAAAGAACTTCTGGCACAGGGCATCTGCAATATAAGCCGCAGGGCTGATGGCGAGGAGAAAACCGGGTAGTGGTCAGCGCACTATAATCTTGAGATGCCGGCAACCTTTGAGATGCTGGTACGAGTCCAGCCAGTAGTTAATTCTTTTGCGCACAACCCAACTTTTTTTATAAAGAAACATTGGCTATCAGTGCTACACCACTCGAACAAGAAATACCAAAAGTCCACGGAAAAAAATTGACATACCATAGTCATATACTGTTTGACAAAGTCGCGTGGGACGAAATTCCAGTACATACTCAGGATCTTTAAGACCTGAAAAAGAACAAATGAAAACTGATCGAATTTTACAGCTCACATTCCTGAATTATGGAGCTCTCAGGAACAATGAACTGAAAGACACTTGCTAATGCCCTGACATTGGAAATTTCGTAGAATGCAGGAGATTCCAAGGAACCATAAATTCGGTAAAGTAGTACTCAGAGGAAGTCAAAAGGAAGTTTTCCAGTGCCTACCTCCATCCGTTATTTCTATTACTCGCCTATTCACAATAAATGGACATCACAAAATGTTTTCATGCGTCTACTCTTCAAATATCATGATCGAATATACCTTTTTAGCAGCCACCATTCTTATTGCTGTACAGTCGTCCTTCAGCATATTCAGCATAATATTGTTCTGCTTATAGAGACACTCTTCTCGTTTCTGAAGACAGCTTCGATGAGAAACTCACTCGTAAACAGATTGTTCCCGTATAGTTGAACAAAAAACCCACAAAATCGTCGTCATCCATCAAGGGATAGAAACCAAGCAGGATAGTGGACGCAGCATAGCGCACTTGGTCATTGCAAGACTAGAACGGTACAGTCAAATAATCAATGCGGATGAGTTTATAAGGAGAACTCGAAAGACTCACTTCTAGGCCAATCCAAAGTACTGACTCGAAACATCTAACAAGCATGCCTTCCATTCTTGCCTTGTCGGCGTTCTCCACAGAAAAAGAAGACAGGATCTAACTCGTAAAGAAAATTATTCACAAACAGAAGCAGGATGGTGTTAAAGAAACGTACATGTATAAATTTAGCTGAGAGGTTAAAAGGCAACAAAACAGCATCGTGGATAGTACCGGTGATCATGTCCTCTTCAATTTGTTTCATCATATCCTCATTCTCTTCTCTCACCGCCATGCGCCAAGCAGTGTAGATGACTTGACCAAGGTGATTACAGGTAGTGCTGGAAGTAATTGAAACTCTGGGCGATATGGGTTTTGTCCTGGACAGGAATAGAATTGAGATCTCTATCGCTTTGTTAGAGCGTGACTTTGTAGCAAAAATGCTCACTTGGAAGCTCCAGCAACGACCATCTTTTTCATGAGGAGGAAGGCTGACCGAAATCCGATCTTTCTCAGAGCGTAGGCGCAGAATTTTATACCTAGAAGGCGAAGGAAAGGAAGATTATGAGGAAGGGATGAACAGAATAAATCAACCATGCGCTAACAACACGAGAGAAACTAACCCTCTGCACAGTTGAGAAACGACGGTTCCCACAAAGCATGTCGTAAACTGTTAATTTCACATTTCTCCACGACCTCTTCGTGATCTGACCATAATCGCTTGATGAGAGCTTTCTAAGAAAAGGATTAACTCGAAGCATTAAAATACCAGAATCGCAGTAAAAACTCCAATGTATTTGATAAAAGATGCTTCAAAGCTAACGAACCTGCCCTTTCTCATTTTTGCAAGCTTTCTCAAGCAAAGCAGGATAATCACTCAGAAAGTATTCAAGCTTTTCGTTCACGACATTCTTCTCTGTCGCTTCAACCTCTAACTCAGGGATAATTTTCTTCGGACCATTTCTTCTAGACGCCTTCTTCTTAGATATCTACAAGAAAAAAATTACAAGAGCAGAAACGACTGCAACTGATAAATGAGTATTAGACTCTTCAGTAGCGATGAAAAACTTGAAAAGAAATTGTAGCTCTGTTATGGAGGCCCCAAAGGTGAAACAATCTAGGATGGGCACATTATTTGTGTTTCTCAACCAAGCTTTTTCGATCATAAAAAAGTAACAAGAAAGGAAGATTTGCATTTACCAGAGATGCAGCAACAGTTTCTTCAGTCCCTGCTTCAGGATTCTTTTGCGGAAGAGGGGGGTAGAGGGGAGAGTTCTCATCAAATCATATCCTCGCATAAGAGTCTTCCAGTCGGCGGCCCAACGTCTTCAGATGACTTTTTTGTCTTTCAGGCTCGCCTCCAAAGATTGATGTTCTTTTATGAACAAGTGATCGTACAACGTGAAGAACTACTCCTGGAGAAAAAAAATAGGAATTTCAGAGAGGAGTACGATGCAAGCAACCACGAATAATAACAACTCTTTGAAAAAACCTCGAAAGTTTTAAATCTACGCATTTCGCGGCTTATGAGGATAATTAGCGACGCGATAACTCGCACTGCGCCTCTAGCTCTCTGTGGTAAAGGGTCAGTGCGCAGACGAGAGGGGCATCTGCTGGTGGGAGCCAGCAGATGCCCCTCTCGTCTGCGTCTGCTGGTTCATATTCCACCGGTGCGCAGCAAGAAGTTCAAGCTATTACTCATTCCAGAGATGAGTGGGGCGTAGCTTCGCATTTCATTCGAGCACAGTTTAGAATGCGTTCTTGTGACTAAATTCCTCGGGAACGACCAAGTTCTTATGGTTAGCTATGGAGTGACTGTGATCGTATAAAGTGGATGTTTATAACATCACTCTCTTTAGCACATTCTAGAGGCATTACTGAACGAAAAGATAACAACCGACATTCAAGCGTTAAATTTTTTTACTTTTTTGACCACATTTACGTACCCTCCGCTCGAGTCAGCCTGGTAGAGAAAACAGAAACCTTCCACAGCTAAGATAGCAACAGCTCGAAAGGTGGGAAACACTAGGAAGGTGTGAAAGCTACTTGTCATATGGAAAAGTTGGCCGACGTGATCGTGGGATATCGCTACTACAACAACGGCAATCCAAAAATCACAAGAATGCTGAGTTGTGGGCAAAAGTCGAACCCCAGGCGGGAGTCGAACCCGCACCTCACGCTTTCCGGGCGAGTGCGTAAGCCGTTGAGCTGACCATGAGAGGGTAAGAGCGGTCCTGGTGGCGTAACGAATAGCGCACTCGCCCAGAAAGCGTTGGTTCGACTCCCGCCTGGGACCTTTGCCCATAACTCAGCATACTTGTGATAACTTTCGGAACGCGAACAGTGGCATTAAGCAGCAGTTATCATCATAAATCCATTCTTATTGTTGATCAGTCGGCTCGACGGCTGACGCCGACGCACCTCCATAAGGCCACGGCCCGGCTTAGCTGGGCGGACGCGGCTTCGCCGCGCTTACCTCCTTCTACACTGGATACTCAACAATTATCCGGCTTTTATTTCACCTGTACACATAGTCAACGCTCCTTGAGCAATAACATCATACCTACTACTTTCGACACTATTACCGTCTATGAAATGGTGTAAGCAGCGTTGATCAAGTGCGCAGATGAGAGAGAAACCGGTATTAGTTGAGCATTCAAACATACGCAAGCAGGTGGGCGCGACGAAGTAAGCAAAACCGGCAAAGCCTGGCCCTATTAGAAAAGGAGTCGCGCCGGCGTCAGCCAGCGAACCGACTGGTATCAAATGTACCTGTGACAACAGGTGTTCAAGAGTATGCGGCCTATGCACTAAAACGCAGTGAAAATACCATGTGCTTGAGAACACGCTCCACCCACTGTGGGCGGGTCTCAACACACCACAGACATGCTGAACTCTCGCCATATGTTTCTCTTCACCAAAAGTTTTTCCTGATCTCCAAGCTCACTCAGATGCGAACCACGAAATTTTTCAGCAAGAGCCTGCCCATCTCGAAAGCAGCCCGCCCATTTTTGAGATGTCTCCTCCACTTCGTCGTGTCTCGCTAACCCCCTGTGGACCTCAATCCACCTCCCCGGTGCCTATGCTGCTCTGCAACTATT